TGACCCAAAATTGCCTTATCAGACCCACTTGCGGGTTTGAAAGGCTCTCAATGCTTGTGAGATAGAAATTTCAGCTGGGTCTCAAAAATCGACCCAACACCGTTTTTATACGATTTTAGTTCAGCGCATCTGACACCAGGCAGCGCAGACTTTGATTTGTGTATATAATTTATATACACGAGTCCATTTTTGATGTTGGACCGATCTTACCAAACCCTATTGGCAACACTGTAAAAGTTTGATATACATAATTTATAAGTATATTAGATAGTTCTTTTTAAGCCCCTTTGTACTTTCACGTGGTTTCTGATAATTTCATCAATTTTGGGAACTGTTGGTTTTCACAAAATTGAAGTGATTGCATGACTAATTTCTGTGTGAGTTTCGTTCCTTCTTATATAAATAAAGTGTTCAAGGTATTATCTATCAAATGTATTTTTTGTTGTTTTTTTTATTTGATGTCAATGGCATCGACTACTAAGGCCATTAGCCTCGTGTTCTGTGTAGGCTTTGTTACTGTTTCCCAGTGCCACTTTAGGAGCAGCACTGTTAATTAGAACCCATTTATATTTTCATTATTAATTTTTTTTATTCATGAAAGAGGATGGTTTTAACAAGACAAAATATAAAATAATTAAAAACGGAACTTTTAATAATACTAAAAGTAAATAAACAGTAACATTATATGTTTATTTAAAATAAGTACAAAATGATTAATTGTTTCAAAAATAAATAATCAATTTATATATAGGAACAAATATTAAAATAAAAGAATATTGATAAATATAAGATAAATATGTAATGGATAAAACTTTGGACGAAAATGAAACATTGATATTTATATGGATTTGAAAACCCAAACAACATGGTAAAATACTTTAAAGATATTTACCTCTAGTATATAAATCGCTGTCATTTGAATTTGATTTTGCCTCTTTTAATATTCAATGAATATTGGAGTGTTATTTTATTTTCGTTCAAGATTTTATTATTTGTTAAACCATTTAACATTTAGATTTTTTTATTAAAATATGTGTTTAATGTTTACTTATCAATAAATAGTTTAATTTTAACAGTAACTTTATTTGTCCCTTTATGTACCAGGGTGGTGGTTTATACAGAGACATATGGTATATATAGGGACATTTTTTTGTGAATAATATTTACCATTTTGCAAAATTACTTTTAACACTTAATAAATAATGACCAAACCTATCTTCAAAAAAATAATCAATTTTCTTTATTGAGAAAATGTAATTTTAATCAAAGAAAGAAAAAAACGTCCCTGTATATACCACCTTGTCCTACATTAAAAAACGTTGCAAATCATCTATCATTACTGGCTAGTCTATAACTTACCAGTATAGAGTGGGATATATGTGGCTAATAAAATATGAATTATACAAAAAGGTGTGTGCGAAAGAAATTTTAAAGATTTTAATTCTCTATAGGTATATTATTTGACATTCTAATGCTCGATTAATTAGTTTTTTTAATTCATAAACCCAACGAAATATGTATAAAATTATCATCATTGCTATGATTTTTACCGTTACATCAATATTTTTCAAAATATAATTCAGTAATTGGAATATTCGTATTCTCTTCGACAATAATTTATTTCCAACAATTTTTCCTGTTTAAATTAAAACTTCCTTTTCCTGTTCAATCCGATTGAAACTAGAAACAACTAATTTTGTATCAACAAGAATTAAGTAGTATGTGATTAGTATGACAGTTTTAACGTACACGTGCAACACGTGCATTGGAAATTGAGCAAAGTGTACGTGAAAATATTTTATATACCACCCTAGTCGATTCCAATGTACATGTTTAACTCAATATATAGAATATATTGATCCTAAAATAATTGGTTTAGAATTATACCCAAGTACCTATTATAACGTTTGGTATGTTTTTGACAAGCCATGAAACATTTCAGTCACTGCAAAAAATAATGTAAATTACATTCCACTTGTTGAAAAATGTCGTTGAAGACATATTGGTGAGAGAAATATGTTTTTGAGCGGTAGAAATGTTTCAAAAAAGACTAAACATAATTGGTTGTAAACAACAGACTTATACAGTGTGGAAACCACTTATGGAATAAAATTATTTTTGGTCTTATTTTAGAACATTATAAAAACGCTGGGACACATCATATTTTAAACTAAATTGTACGTTCTAGAAAGGAAAATATAAATATACGGCGTTTCATGTAAGTCTAACCTTGTCGGTATTCTTTTTTTTTAACGGAACACCCTGTATAATTTTATATTTTTGAAAGCTCCTTAAAAAGCTGACTTCAACGAACTATAATATTTATGGTCTTTATGAATAATACAGGGTGGAATTTTGTAAATATTATTACGCTTTGAACGTTGTTAATTAGTCAAACACAGATTTATCTAGAGTGTATTTGGGTGAATATCAGAAATAAATAAAACCTGATATGTTCATGGATCATGGTTTTAGAAAAAAATAATGTCCAGAAGGAGTAAAAACTACCTAGATAGCTCCAACAATTAAACAAAATCGGTAAATTTGTTATGTATTAGGTACTTGTACAATTGTTGGTGTGTTGACATTTTACATTAAAATATTAAATTTCCAATTATTTCGATTGATTCATAAAAAAATATTTAAATGAAGCTCATCGAATTGAAATAAAAATGACACACGCCAAAACATCTTACAATTGGCAAACTTACCAATATTTTATAATTTAATTTAAAAAATGTTTGAACAGCAAAATGGCGCTGCCTGTCATACATCAAAAAATCTGATGTGTCCAATACATGACTTTCCTATCTAGTTATTACAGGCTTTTTCCGGTTATTTACTACAACCTATTGCAGCACCTCCGTAAATGTTTAGAGGATAAACTAAATATATATACATTTTCCACATACATCTACCTCGAAACATTTTTCTATAGATATTCATTGAAAACGACAATACTGAAAAATTTAAATTTAGCACTTTTCCTACAATTTTTCCATTACGGTCCATTTTAGAAAAATCATGTATAAACAAAAATTATAGAGATCGATTTCGCAAACAACTTTTAGTTGAACAATTTTCATAAAAATCAGAATTTTGCACATTTTTTCAAATTTCTCGAATACGGGCCATTTCAGGAAATTTTGACATAAAGCAAAAATTATAGATAATAATATTAGAAGTAACTTTTATTTAAACAATTTTCTTCTCCAAACATAAATAACATATATTCCATAAAATATAAAAACGGCCTCCCATAAAGTACCCCCCCCCCCCCAGATGTTCCGACTTTGTCCAAAATCTAATCATTTCACGTCAGGCCGAAATAAAACTTAAGTTTAAAATTTAATGTTTTTTTCTTTATCCGTTTTTTAAAATTCGAAATTTACACATTTTCTCAAATATCTGGAATACGGTCCATTTTAGAGAAATTATGTATAGAATAAAAATTATAGAGAATTATATTACAAACAACTTTTATTTAAACAATTTTTATAAAAAATAATTTTTTTTACATTTTGTCAAATTTCTCGAATACGGACCAGTTACGGAAAATTTTGTATAGAACAAAAATTATAGATAATAATATTAGAAGTAACTTTTATTTAAAAAATTTTCTTCTCCAAACGTAAATAACAGATATATTCCATAAAATATAAAAATGACCACCTATAAAGTACCCCCCCAGATGTTACGACTCTGCCCAAAATCTAATTAGTTTATTAGACGCTGGAATAGAGCTTAAGTTTAAAATTTGGTGTTTTTCTGTGTATCGGTTCAGGAGTTATGCGTCACACAGACACACACACACACACACACACGCGCGCACGCGCGCACACGCGCACACGCGCACACATACACACATACACGCATACACGCATACACGCATACACGCATACACGCATACACGCATACACGCATACACGCATACACACATACACACATACACACATACACACATACACACATACACACATACACACATACACACATACACACATACACACATACACACATACACACATACACACATACACACATACACACATACACACATACACACATACACTAAAATTAATAATAAAAAAGTTTTCCATATGATTCCAACTTACTGTACATATAAAATTTTAATACAATCTATATAATGAAAAAATGTCATTATATAGCAAACAGTATCTGAAAAAAGTTAAAAAAATTTGCGAGAACATTAAAAAAATTGATAGGTGGGTCCATCTCCCTTCTGGACCGGTAGGCCTTAGAGATCCCAATCCGACACTGGGCATAATGAAGTACAATATTTATGGTATACTTAACGCAGGTAGATAAAAATAATGTTTACGCTTTCCCATCGAATTCTGAGACACCTATAATCTGCATAATAATGCAAAATTCCGAATCAATTAAAATACTTACGATACGGCTATACGAATAAATAAAGTCTGACTTATCTGTCAAAATAAAAGGTTTATTACAGTAAAAACCATGGAAACATGATTAAATCAAAACGAAAAATTTGTTTATGCCGATCAGATCTATTAAAATTTTCATTTTAACTATAAATAAGCATCAAAGGATGAGGTATAAATAAAATGTTTACCTCTTAAATCTGTACTACGTTCTGCAAATTAAATTACTAAACTCCAGGTAATCCAAATCACGTGACTTTAAATGGTGCATCCTTGGCAAAAACAACAAAAGTACGTGCTTGCCTTGACAAAAACACTTCTAGTGAGGTTATTAGTCTAAGTTATATTATTTTTTTGGAATGTTTAGAGTTGTTTACTTAAAAAATGGCATAATTTAATATTTATTGTATTATTGTATGATTTACAATAAAAGTCAAAATATTAATGAAAGTCAGGTTAACAAACATTGTTATTTTCATCAAACATCGGCCATTTTGGATAGGACATTGGATTGCAAATTCCGTCTTAAAATTGTGATGTAATGTATAATTAAAAATCGTGTAAAAATACTATTTTTTATTTTTGTTTCAGGTGGAACAATTCACAGTATTATGGTTGTTACTTATTGTGATAGTAGCTGGAAATTTAGGAGTAATCTACACGTTAACCGTGAACAGATCTAGAAAGAGTAGAATGAACTATTTTATCACTCATTTAGCATACGCAGGTAAATTTTACAATACTACAGTCGATTGCAAGAACGATCATTAAATATTTAAGTCATTAAATCTTAATAATCTTTTAAAATTTATTTGTAAAACGTGGTGGAGTTGGCAACGTCGTATTCGCCGCATGTTGACAGATGACACATAAAATCTGACTGCGAATTTTTAGTTTAAACCACGATGAATGACAATGACAATAATAGTGATTCATCGTGGTTTAAACCTAATTAATAAAAAGTTGTTGTTGAAAAGAGATAGATAGAAATATCGAAAATAAATGTTTGAAGCACTTTTAAAATTTAGTTATAAATATTGAAAATTGAAACTGTTTTAATTGTACTCTAATGGCATTATATATTAATGTACTGACATTGCTGATGATTACTGACATATTTTGTTAACCGTATTAAAGTTTGAGCCATAGTTTTTCATTTTCCTTATCATTAATTCATTTTTAAAAAAATACAGCACATCCAAACAAACTTCATGCGATAGCTGTTGACAGGCTGTCATTTGGAAAAAGCGCGGTTGTCACCTTAACCATTTTTAATCTCAGATTAGATAATGGGCTTGTCATTAAACGGTTTTGTACGATTACGAATCGGCGACGGTGACGATGAACGAGCAAACTCGAAATACTTTTTTAGAAACCATTTGTTAAAATGTAAAAGTGCAAATTAAATTCGCTTCTACGTTTAACAATCAACGAAATTTTACATTTGTTTGACAGATGCTTTATGGTTTGTAAAGTTCGTTTTGCGTTTAGTTTTGTCAAATACGCCAAATGGGAACTAAAGTAAGGGTTCTGTGGCGATGTTATTTGTGAAAGTTGAAGTAAAATGTGTCTGTAACATATTTTATCGTAAAATAATTGCAATACCTGACTCAAAATGGTTGAAAAAATAAATAATCCTAGGTTTATTTAAAGTACAACCCCTAAAAAGATATGTCAAATTTACACCAAGCATATAGAAACGTTGATTCCCAATCAAATGAAACTGTTTGATGACGGTGAACGCTGCCAATTGACGTTATGAAAACATTAGCTATTAGGCATTCCAAACAAAATGGCTACCAGTAGGTTTTAACAGGTTATGATATGGAAACATTATAACAACCCTGTTCAGCAGTTTTTGTAATTTTTCGTGCAACGTGGCAACACCGCCACTCTGCCAACAATACCGACTAGTGCGCGGGACGAAGCGTGGAAGGGGGTTGTCTGACCACTTTGACCGGCATGAGAGACTTATATTCTATACCTATTGTAACGCTACGATAAGCACATGTTTCTTTTAATCTTTTCACAATGTTATAATAAAAGTTTCAAATTAATAGTTACAATATTATTTACACGTTAACAAACCCTGTAGGCCTAGTGATTTGACAGGATCAATGAAATAGATAGTTATATAGATTGATCATCCATGTTTTTCAAAATAAACATAAGCTCACGGCTTGAAGTAAAAAATGTAGGTTATTATTTTTTTTTACTATGCTCAAGAGCTGAAAATTGGTTTGTAAACACATTTTTTGCTTAACTGATTCTGATTAATGAACACTTGCGAGGTAATATGGCCACTCGCAAACGACCCGCTTTGAGTAATCTATAAAACTATATATGTATCATTGACCCTGTCAATAACAGGTCCACAGGGTTGCCATATATAAACTGTCAGTTCCTACTTGTCAGCATTTTTACAAATCGTTGGAATGCCTAATTGAAATATTTAACAATCGTCCTTGCTGTTAAATATTCTAAATCAATTTTGGTGAAGTTACTCCCTGATAATTACATTTGCGAACAGAATCTAGATCAAAATTTAGCGTTCTGGACAATTTTTCCAAGAGTCTGGCTATTTTTTGGTTAACTATTACCAAAAATTACGCTTTTGATTGTTGAGTACATTAAAATTGATCTGGAATGATAATTGACGTATAAAGTCTGTTTAAGATATTTTATTTATTTTTAGATCTGTCAGTGGGACTGATTAGTGTTTTGACAGATCTAATTTGGAGGACAACAGTGAGTTGGTACGCCGGCAACGTTGCTTGCAAAATTATAAAATTTCTTCAGGTAAGTCGAATCTACAAACCGAAGAACCATTTAGAAATCAGAAATAAAACTTTAACTGATTTAGGTATATATATATTTTTTTTTGTCAACCGCACCGAAAGAAAATGATTTTTCAGTTTTCATTTTCGCATGAGTGGAAATGTCACGTTATGAGTGATTCAGTCCCACTACCCAGCAAATAATCGTATTTCTAGGAGCAGCGATGTAACTGACAAAGACAAACGTCGGAAGACATAGTCGTATAATAATAAAGTCTGATTTATTCTGCTTTGTTGAACGGTTTTTTTATTTGCATTATTTAAAAAAAAAAATGATTTTAATTACGTTAAACATTCACTCAAAGTCAGAATTTAACGAAATTTTGCGGAATTTTACATATTTGATCGTTTTAATTTTAATTTTAAAGATAGGTAGGTACCTAAACCTATAAGGAAAAGAAAACATTTTATAATAGGAGCCCACTGAAAATTTTGACCGTCATCCGATAACGAAATAAAATATGCTTGAATTACATTATATTGATTCTGTTAAAAATATACCGTGCCCTTCTGAGATCCGCTTTTGTGAGATTATTGCATGAATTTTCGTTACTCCGCAAATGGTAGTAGTTCATATTTGTAATGCTTTAAAATGAATTAAAATAAATTAAAATAAATTAAAATAAATTAAAATGATTTAAAATAAATTAAAATTAATTAAAATGAATTAAAATGAAATAAAATGAATTAAAATGAAATGAAATAAAATGAATTAAAATGAATTAAAATGAATTAAAATGAATTAAAATGAATTAAAATGAATTAAAACGAATTAAAATGAATTAAAATGAATTAAAATGAATTAAAATGAATTAAAATGAATTAAAATGAATTAAAATGAATTAAAATGAATTAAAATGAATTAAAATGAATTAAAATGAATTAAAATGAATTAAAATGAATCAAAATGAATTAAAATATATTAAGTTAGTTAAACTGAATAAAGTTACGATTTTAAACAAGTGAATTTGCTAAAAAAAATAATAAAAGACTCTCGGCTACGGACGATATTAGGGACAGTAATTTTATCACTTTTTCCATAAAGATTAAGTAAAACCATAATATTTTTACACTTTTTAATCTTCTATAAGTGTGCACTAACCTAATTAAAGCAACAAATATTATTAAAACACATTTGTAAGCTAAAAAATTAAGAATATGCATTTATTCACGTAGCTATATTAGGCATTCCAACGACCTGTCAAACAATAGGTGCCAGTGGGAAATTCTTGTATATTTAAGGGGGTAGCGACATAGTCTTGCAACTTGGACGCTATTTTTATTCGAAGTAGTACTCGCCAAGCCTGCCAATTTATGAAGAAATGTATAGGTGGGTTTTTTAAATATTATTTTTATTGTGTTTGACATAAAATATTTAAATGTAATCCATTATTCATGATTTTACATAAAGTAGATAGAATACACCATATGTCGCCACCCTTAGATATACCAAACCTGCCCACTGGTAATTCATTTGTTTGGAATGCCTAATTGTTTTTAATTTTTTCGATTTGACAGTCACACTAAGAGCGCCTGTGCGTGATTTTAGCAATGTTGCCAATTGCTTTATATTGTTACACAGCATCCTGCAGTAGCCTGCGGCTGGTATAAGAAAACGAACGAATAGAAAAGTGGATTATTTCAGTTTGAGCTGTGTCCAGGCCGTTGGAGTCTATGCCGGTTGGCGTAGCCAGGGATGGGCTGATGTTATTTGGTGGCGGCTAAGCCGCCACCCTACGATAAGTCGTTGCTTCGTTTTCTTATTGCATATTTATGGACTGGAATGCGCAATCGCAAGAAAATATGTGAAAAAGTTTACGTTTTCAATTCAATTTGAGCTGTGTCCAGGTTGTTGAAGTCTATGCCGGTCGGCGTAGCCAGGTATGGATTGATGTTTTGGCGGCGAAGCCGCCACCCTACGAGAAGCGTTGCTTCCTTTTCTTGTTGCATATTTATGGACCGGTATGCGCAATCACAATTTTCCATTAACTACCTACTAATTTTAAAAACAATCCGGCAACGTTGCAATTATATATTCAAAATTTGACAGAAATCATCCAGTATCGATGTTTATTTAGAGTCGTCAAAATACTGATTTTTATAGAAATTAAATAATTTTTTTTTAATGTACTATTTAAAATACGCTCTTTCTGATAAAAAATATTTTTTTTTTAAAATTCCACTGTTCCTAAAGTCGTCCGGACCCGACTCTCTCAGTCAAGCGGGGTTGACAAGGAGAGATGAGAGTCGATTAGCAAGTAACCGACAATCACTAAGATAGGATGGTACTAATAAATTATATATCTATATAAAATAATTAAATAAAAAGGAATGAGCCCGCTACTATAACCAAGGCGTCTCCGAATGGTTATAAAATAAAATAAACAAACAAACAAACAAGGTCAAGGTCGTTCGCCAGAAAAAGTTTAAAGCTCAAAATGCAAACAAACAAAGCGGGAGGTCCTTACCAACCAACAATATTATTGATGAAGTATGGCTGGGACCCATGACACCTGTCTTTCCGACCTGTGGAGAGAAAATCCGTTACAGGTTCCGCGACCAAAATGCCGGCAAGCGGTAATGAAAATAGAGGGAAACTAAATGGAGACAGCCTTAGCACTTTTAAATGTGAAACCCCCTCGTCTCCCACATAATCAGAACGGACTCACCTAGTGTAATAATTCCACGGAGGAGCTCTAACAGGAAAAATCGCCATGCAACAGTAGAGAATGCGCGAACACCGACTTATTTCTCAACAATTTTGCTAGAATCCTCTCTTTCCTTAGTAAACCCTTATGTCGATCGGACGCAGACAGTCGTGGTGCTGTGATTATCCAAAACTTGAAGTAATCATTTTTTGTAATGAAACACTGGAATTTGCACTACATTCGCGAGAGCACTATCCACGACCACGAAAGAGTTAAAGATCTACTACCTATTTTTGCGGGAAAAGCTTATACTTATGTGATTAATTCCTGGCTCCGCCCACAGGTAAAACAATTACGTAATTGGCTAAAGCTCTTTGGAATCGTTTTAAATTTACAACGGCGCTATATTTGAAATTTAAACTGTATTTTTGGGATAAATAATAATGAAATTCGAATAGAAGATAAAGTACTTTTTAGAAAGCTAGAAGAGATGTACATGGGAATGAAATATTAATAAGACAGAGTTTGGACAAGCGAATTGATTTGGAATTTTGTGATGTCTGAAATATTTTTGCGTAGGTAGGTATTTCATTCGGGTATAAATGATGATTTTTAGATGATGCTGTAAGGTTAAAAAATTTACATGATGTAAAAAATTTGGAAAATAAGACGTGCTTTATATTACAGATTCAGTTTCATTAACCTGTTTAAAATGGAATGAAAGAGTTTCTTTCGATTAAAAAGAGCGACATAATTATAGGTAGATTGTTAGGACTGTTTTGGCATGCCAAATATGATTATAACATATGATTCTAGCAATTGTTCTCTGAAATAGGTATTTTTTTTGTGTATATATAAAGTACAAATAAATCTTATTTCGTATTATTGTTCAGAATTTGAATAGTAGGTTCATAAAATTATAAATTACCTACAATTTGTCATGTTTTATTATTCGGGTGCGATTGGATGCTCCCGAAGTATTTGCTCGGCTCAATAAGAATGCATAGACGTTTACGTCAGACGTACATAGATCAATTAAGTAGAGAGGGGTAGAATGATAACTTTTAATCAGGGCTGGTATATCTAAGGGGGTCGCGACATAGACCCAGTAAATGGATGAGGGGGTGACTGAGGCTAGGGGGGAAATAGTAGTCAGCTTAAGTTGGCAACACTTTTCTGATGTTCGTTTGAACGAGCATCGTGCATAATAATGTCAATATGGTGCAAGTGGAATGAACCACTGTTTTCCTCGTAGTCGTAGTCCAATGTCGAATTAAAACTAAAAACATTTTGTACTTTTTTATATACCAAATTATGCAATTTGTTTCCACTTTATTTTAATGTTACATGAATAGGTACATGCGTTTGTGCTGTGTTAAATAAGTGTTCATGTGAAAATTATATCTTAAACTACATTGTGACTGCACGCATCTCGAAACTGAATGCTGTAAATCCAGGATTTAAATCTTTCATAGTGTTGCTTGGGATAAATTGTAAAAAAGGTGTTAGACAAAACCATTATTAAAGAGAAATTAGTTATCATCAATAAGATATTTTGTAGTAGCTGGTCTCTATAAATAATAAACTTGAAAGACTGAATTAGTAGTCACTTTTACACTAGAAGTAAAAACAAAAAAAATGTGTGGTTGATACTAATTTGTGTATTTAATAAAAACATATTTAACATAAAAGCAGGTGTTATTTGAAATGTTTTATTTTAGTTTAATAATCTTTATAAATTGTGGGTACATTTGATCCGAATCTTGCAAATACTATAAAATGCATATGCTTCTATATGGTTAGTATTGGAGTAGAAGCACAAAAGTTTTGAATAAAAATATATTCTTCAAATACAATGTTCACTAGATATGCTAATTTTCTATTTGAAACCATACATGTTTTCTATTATAGTTTTCATACGTTTATAATTCTGGAGATACCGGAATATTTTGCTTGATTACTAAACTTTGGATGTTTTTGTTGTAGTCTGCTGTTAACACTATTGTCCTGAAATATTAAAAAAGCTAGACAAAGGTTTGTCCAACTCTTTTGTCAGCTTTGTTAATCTATGCTGTTATTCTGCATGTAGACATTTTTTACTGGAGATTTTCTCTAAGAACTGTATTCAATTTCAAATTTAGGCCAGTTTTAGGAAAGTACCTCTGTTGTAAAGGTATTTCAAAGCCATCCTTTGTGAGATGTAGACAACAAATACATGCTAAAATGTATAGAAAACAAATCGCAAGATATTACACAAAATTATTTAAATTAACTAAAAACATACAAATGAAGTGAATAATACCTACCAATAATT